AGCTAAGTGTGGTATGTATGAATGAATGCATCCATAATCATCATCTTTCATCAAGTAGCCATAATCGTTGACTTTTGGATCAACCCCGCCACTAATTAGGCCTTGATTATTTCGTGTTTCTTAATTCTGTGAGAAAATATGGTTACTAGCCAAATTTTGCTTGTTTATTACAATAAAACCAAAACAACTATCTTGTGGCATACTTAACCTGAATAACCTATTCAAGAGTAAACAGTCGGCTACAAAAGCCACACTTACATGTTCTCCAACAAATAACACAAAAGCCTTTCACTAAACCTTATAACAGGGGACTGATTGCTTCATGATCCTAAACATGTTTGCATTCAGAAGGAGCCATTCTGATATAACAAAGGCACATGTCACATAGACAGTATCCAGCTACCTTTCTTCTAGAAGACCAGGCTGCAGTTCCAAATGTCACCATGTGATCCAAGTTTGCACGGCAAACATTGAAGCCTTGGTCTCTCAAAGATTCACAGACGCTGTCAAACTTGGCATCTTTGAAGGGTTTTGAGACTAGAATCAAAGATGATCATTCACCAACATTCTTCCTTGCGAAGATAAGGATATCCGCCAAGATCCGAGCAACTCTTTCATATTTATTCCCTGGAGTGAGTGAGCAAGTTTAGGATATTAAAACATCATCAAAATCAAAATAAATACACATGGACAATATCCAACAAATAAAGCATGCAACTCCTGGGTTACGAAAAAATCAATGTCTATATAACTTAAATCTTGCTGGGGAGCTCAAATTTAAGTGGTATACATACAAGCACAAAAACGCAAAAGGGATAACCATAAGAGTCCATAAACCTACCTAGAACCCAAAGGCAGAAAAATTCGACAGAAAGAAGAAAACCCAATCTGAAACAATTAATTAATACAAACCCTAACAATCACAACATCAAAATTCAGAAATATGAGAACGATCCAGAAAAAAAAAATCCAGTAATAGATTACAGACATACAAATACAAAAAACAGAGAAAAGAGAAGAGGAACTCACCTTCCGGTAGATAGGAGATACTCATTCCGGCTTTCGTGGGGACATCCATCAGCTTTTGTTCATTGACATAGGCCCTAAGAGATACACTAACCCTTCTTCTGCATGGTTGCTTCCATACTCGAGTAAATGAAATTTACTACCATGGGATTGGATGGAAACTCCTCAACGACGAGGTTTCAAGAGACAATGATATCATGAATACTATGACAGATCGCCATATATTTTTACTGTGACAGACTAAACCTAATCCAAGAAAAAGATATCTTACTTTTAAAATTTAATAGTTTTGGATCTCTTGGTCCTTCATCCCGTACAGGGAGAGCTAGTCCATGTGGTGAGCCTTTGCAAAGCAAGTCAAAGCTGTGACTCCAGAATGGTAATTGGATCTCGGAGGGTCCAAATATCACATCGGAGCCTGAAGCTTCCAAAACTCGAACAACATGGTCCCACTTGGCCATGTATTTAGATGGTCTAGAAATCAGCATGAAATGAGTTGGTTCGTCGGTGTTCATGGCCCAAAAAAGCATGTCGAGCAGCATCCTAGTGAACTTGGCATCTTCATGCTCTCCTGGAAAAGAGAGATACATATCAACACAAGTAAACAGAGAAAGAGAGATACATAACAAACATAGAAGTTTGTTATTCATGGAGACATAGTAAGTTATTCGACCTAATTCATGATAACTATTTCTTAACAAGTTGTGATGAAAATCTTGGAGATTCTTTTGAAAAACAATAGAGGGTTTTCTATTCAAATAAAACTTTTGATTATTTAGCTAATTTACTTTTTAATATACACTAACCCACTATTGTTTAAATATTCAAATAAAATTTTGTATTATTGGATTTTAATATAATTGTCAACCTATTTGTTAAGTTATTCGATACTTGGTTTTTTAAAACGTTTTTCTTGTAACAAAGATTTGATTGTATTGGAGTTTTAATAAATTTATATATATAAAAAATCAAATCAAAATTTCAAGTACTTAGAAATTTTATTTTAAACTAATATTTATAACAAAAAAAATTCAAATTCTTACGTAAATTTTTCAAATCAATTAAATAGATAAACGAATTTGACCTAAAAAAAAATCGTTGAAAACTGAAAACATATATAACCAGCCACTTCTTGTATAATAAAAAGATTGTAAACTAATCCATGTTTAGTGCTCTATTGGACATTTTGCACGATTTAGCATTCGGATAATGATCCGTTTTCAACTTGACCTTGAAACGTTTTTTTAGCCGGGGAAAACTTATGCTCTAGTTTGATATATGAGGTTTATATTTAGTACCAAGCAGAATGAACATTAAAAAAACCCGCAGTGTAATCTCTCCTTCTTTGAAAAAATACTTGCAAGTATGAAAAATACAAACTTTCAAGGGAAACAAGACCAAAATTAAACAATGTCTCTGTAAACAGAACCTGAATCAAGATTCATAATTGGTTTCAAGTGTACTTCCCAAAATCCCTACAAATCACAACACAATGAAGCATATCAATTCCAAAGTAGCAAATTCTATTTATCAGAGTCAACAAGAAAAATCACGAGGAACATAAAAGGAGATTCTTTGAAATGAGAAACGTACCACACGATCAATGCTAGAGAAGATAGTTGGAGATTAAACATTCACTTGCGAAAAATTATTCAATTAAACCACAATGCACCTAAGTCCTCAAAAGATTAGCAATCACAAAAACCCAAATTTGTAAAATCAACATCGACATTAACGATCTTTTTTGGAGACATATCGGAATCACAATTATGAATAAACCTTTGCTTTTACATACACACCAAAGTGTGAAACTTTGCTTTAACGCTCAAAAGTGATGGTTTTAGATAAAAAGAAGTAACTGAAAGTTCAAAGTTATATAATACTATACTTGCACTAACAATAAACCATCAAAAACTAACTTAGCTTGATGCCAGTTTAAGGTTCACATTACAAATGAATCCACTCACATGAGAATGAATATATATTTATAGTTGTTAGGGATATATGATGAAGACATGTAACTAAACCATTGTAAGTTTGACTTTTTAAGTTATTCATAATTATATACATTACAAAATTCTCCTCTTCTTTACCAAAAGCTTCATGACCTCTCTCTCTCTCCAAGGAACAGACTTCACTTTTATGTCATCTTGCAGGAGTTTTTCTTAGTGGAACGACCTATGCCAAAGAACAACAAGACGATACTTTGGATCAAATAACTATGTCACATTTGACGTATGAATCAAACTTGTATTTGGTGTGTTGAAGTTTACCTGATCAGTACTACTCGATGATCCGTTGTTCATCACTGTCTTCATCTTCTTCGAGCTTCCATTTTCGTCTTTTGTTACTTCGTTAACAAAGTTCTGGTCAGATACTTCTGCTTTGAAAACATCAGACAAAATAAGTTTACAAGTTTCGAATAGAAGAAACATATTTGAAAGATAAAAAGTTGAATAAGTACCTTCTCCGATGCTGATTTGATCCCGGTCACGCGAATGAGAGCAGCCTTCCCGTATTATCTGCTTGAAACTTGACGCTGAACCAGAGCTCGATATGACGACTCCCTTCTTCCCATTAGAGCTGACCACTTTACTTTCGGGATCGGAACTACCTTCATCCATTACCGGAATTTGTGTCTTTGGTGAAGGTTTATAGTGCTTGATCCACGGACTCCTAAGAAACTCGTGAGAGCCACCGTTTCTTCCATTGAATCGATACTCAGGTTGTTTAACATTCATCTTCTGCCAGAAACCATCACGAAGAACCTTGAACTATAAGAGAAGACGAAATTCGATGATCCCGGAAAATCTTATATCACAACAACATGATTAAATATTGAAATGAAAAAAAAAAGAGGAAAATGTCTTATACCTGTTCTTCAGAAGGTTTTCCAATGCTACCGAACCTAGTCGATGGACCAATGTCCGGTACACTATCCTTGCTCAAATTCGAACCGAGCGCACCAAGGGAATTATAAAGCTGATCTACGAATGAAGCTTCCATGGATTTAAGATACAAACTATGCTTCTCATCAGTCCATTCTGTAGGAATAGGCGCAGAATACTGCAATACGTTTACAAGAACTCAGATTACTATACACACACAAAAATACAAACCACTGATCTCAATCAAAAACCACATTTACAATGTTTATTTTTTAGTCACACAATGATTTGATCATTATTCTTACTCAATCCAGAGCTCAAAACTAATATAATAAAGCATCTAATATCTCTCTACAATGAGGCATGACCACCATAGAAACCTGCAATTACTTCGTTTTGCAAAAGTCAAATTGTAAAACAAAATTCATCAGCATAAGCAGATTATGGATAAATATCTAATCATTCATTTGTTTAACATTTTCACCGGAAACAATCAACACGAACCTATAGCAAACGAGATAACTCACATAAGAATGATTTGGTACAGAGTATCGCGAGCTTAAAATTCAGATCTGAACAGAGAGAAAAAACGACGGCGTTTCCGGCGAAGAAAACGTACATGCAATAAGAATAGAATCGGAAAATATGTATACCAGAGAAGAGGAGGTGGTCTCTTCGTCGACGGAAAAAGAAGCATCGTCGGAATCTTCAGAGTCGTCGGAGCTACCGCTACGACGGCTATAGCTTCCTCTGTAATCACCAACCATTTTCGCTATGTCGAT